AAATTTCTAATAAAAACACCGCAGCTGCGTGTTGCATCCCTTCCCTTGTGAAATACTCTGTGGTTGTCAGTGGGCCCAGTGTTGACCGTTTTTGGTTGCACAGGTGTAGTGTCGAAGTGTGTATTCAAAGATTATTTAGTATAAGATAATTTTGCGTTTACAAAAAGTATTAGAAAATGTCGGAAATTTCGATGTCAGAATCATCTCATAATTTTGAAACAGCGTCTGGATCAAGAGCTCGAAGTCTTTCAAGGCTCCTTGCAAACGCTAAAAGTTGCTCAAAGTAAATTTCAGGAGTCCGGATCGTGCCTTGGTAAAATTAATCCTGCCATGAATGGTAAGACTTTTGTTAGCTCTAGTATATTTATCTTATAGTATAATAGTTCTTCTAATTCCGGTATAACCATTGATTAAGGTTAAGGCACGTGAAGTTTACTTAATCTAATTTGTTTAAATAATTCTTTGCAGGCAATGAAATTCTTGTACCATTGACTGGACCAATGTATGTTACTGGGAAATTAGCGGATACAAATAATGTATTAGAGGACATTGGAACAGGATATTTTGCCGAGAAGAGTGTCGCCGAAGCAAAAGATTATTTCGATAGAAGAGTTGCTTATGTTACGTTGCTTATGTTACATTATGATACACTTAACAGTACTGCGAGTAAGATAAATTAATTATACGCATATAGAAAAACATTACTAATTATTAATTACTAATAATATTACTAACCTTCGTTTTAAAAGTATGTTCGTTAATATACTTATAATAACAGTAATATATTTAGCAAATAATGTTGGATATAATTTATGTATACAATATATATATACGATATTAAATGAATGTATATCTAGAAAATATTGAGAAATTGGCCACGAGTTCTAAGAGGCTATCGTTACAAATTTAAATCTTTATTTCCTATATCTTTACAAAATGATTAATTATAACTCACCAAAATTTCCTGCAGACACTGTGTAAATTAAACAAAACGACTAAGATCTGAAAATTAAAGTAAATTTCAATAGTATTATAAGTATAAAGCTGCAGCTGCACCGGTCGTCACGTTCTCGGTTCTAGATCTTTCCGGAAGAGAGTCCGCGAGAGTCCGAGAGTCCAACAAGAGTCCCGCATTCACTCCCATTAGTTCGCATACTACTACACGTAACTATCAGGTTGCACTTTTCACAGCCGCTATGAGATTCAAACTAACGTATTATAACTTGCGGGGTCTTAGGGTTCAAATGTTTCATTGCGAAAGTAGATAAAACGTTTNATAAAGCTGCAGCTGCACCGGTCGTCACGTTCTCGGTTCTAGATCTTTCCGGAAGAGAGTCCGCGAGAGTCCGAGAGTCCAACAAGAGTCCCGCATTCACTCCCATTAGTTCGCATACTACTACACGTAACTATCAGGTTGCACTTTTCACAGCCGCTATGAGATTCAAACTAACGTATTATAACTTGCGGGGTCTTAGGGTTCAAATGTTTCATTGCGAAAGTAGATAAAACGTTTTGCAATAGATAGTAAACAAAACGTTATAAACATGATATTGTTGAAAGTTCAACTTGTAAAATATTGGGTTGACAACTAAGTAATTGCCGATTTCCGTTATAGATGTCTCTCACTCCCATTTTTATGAAATCCATAAATGTTATATTATAAAGTATTATGTTATTATTATTATGTATTATATATAATATTAAGAATATAATATTTTATTATATATAATAATGTATAACATATAATAATAATAATATAATATTTTTATATATATTATTATTATTATATTAGTATTATTATACATAATATATAATAATAATATAATATTTTATTATATATAATAACATATAATATACAATAATAATAATAATATAGTATTTTATAATATAACATTTACCGACATCATAAAAATGGGAGTGAGAGACATCTATAACGGAAATCGGCAATGATTTTGTTGCCAACCCAACATTTTATAAGTTTAACTTTCCACAATATGATGTTTATAACGTTTTGTTTACAATCTATTGCAAAATGTTTTATCTACTTTCGCAATGATAACATTTGAACCCTAAGACCCCCGCAAGTTACAATACGTTATTATGAATATCATAGCGGCTGTGAAAAGCGCATCCTGATAGTTACGTGGAGTAGTATGCGAACTAAGGGGAGGTTTCTTATTGGACTCTCGGACTCTCGCGGACTCACTTTCGTAAAGATCTTGAACCGAGAACGTGACGACCGGTGCAGCTGCAGCTTTATACTTATAATACTACTAAAATTTACTTTAATTTTCAGATCTTAGTCGTTTTGTTTAATTTACACAATGTCTGCAGGAAATTTAGGTGAGTTATAATTAATCATTTTGTAATGTTATGGGAAATAAAGATTTAAATTTGTAACGATAGCCTCTTGGAACTCGTGGCCAATTTCTCAATATTTTCTAGGTATACATTCATTATATACATATTGTATACATAAATTATATCCAACATTATTTCTTAAATATATCACTATTATTATATAAGTATATTAACGGACATACTTTTAAAACGAAAGTTAGTAATGTTATTATTAGTAATTAATAATTAGTAATGTTTTTGTATATACGTATAATTAACTTATCTTACTCACACCATTACGTTTGCAGTACTGTTAAGTGTATCAGATAAAACAAATCTTTTACCTTTTGCAAAAAAGCTGCATGAATTGGATTTAATCTTAGTTGCATCAGGTGGTACTGCAAAATTTTTAAGAGATGCTAGTATTCCTGTAAAAGATGTTTCTGCTATTACTGGAGCACCTGAGATGCTCGATGGCAGAGTAAAAACTCTTCATCCTGCTATACATGCAGGTAATTATAATTATAATTTATATCAACAAGTGAATTTTATTATCAAGTTAATAAAACATTTCATTCATACTGCGACTATTATATTACATGTATCGAATTGTAGGCATATTAGCCAGGCTCACAGAGACTGATCAAAAAGATCTTCAGAACCAAAATTATGAGCTTATTAAACTTGTAGTATGTAATCTGTATCCATTTGTAAATACTGTCTCAAAACCTGATGTTACAATCGAAAATGCTGTAGAAAATATTGATATTGGCGGAGTAACTTTATTAAGAGCTGCAGCTAAGAATCATAATAGAGTGACTGTTGTATGTGACCCTAATGATTATGACAAAGTAAGAGTAGAAATGGAAACATCAGCTGATAAAGATACTTCTTTGAAAACTAGGTATGTAGAAATCTTAATAATAGAGTAAATGCTTTTCTATCCTCCGATATAATTTTGAAATTATATTTACCATTTTTAGGGAAATATTAGCTCTCAAAGCATTTACTCACACAGCAGAATATGACAATGCTATCTCAGATTATTTCCGTAAACAATATAGTAGTGATGTTTCTCAACTAACATTACGATATGGAATGAATCCGCACCAGAAACCAGCACAAATTTATACTACTTTGGACAAATTGCCACTAACTGTAATAAATGGTTCTCCAGGTTTTATTAATCTCTGCGATGGATTAAATGGTTATCAGTTGGTAAAGGAATTAAGAACAGTTCTGAATTTACCAGCTGCAACATCATTTAAACATGTTAGCCCTGCTGGTGCAGCAGTTGCCGTACCATTAGATATGCTAGAAGCAAAAGTATGTCAAGTGGGTGATTTATTAGATCATTTAACACCTTTATCAACTGCTTATGCTCGTGCAAGAGGTGCAGATAGGATGTCTAGTTTTGGAGATTTTATAGCATTATCAGATCCTTGTGATGAAATTACAGCTAGGATTATATCTAGGTAATACAAAATATATTATTTCTTAAACAAAAGAATTTGCACTCTATTTATATTCATATAAATAAACTTTTAGGGAGGTGTCTGATGGAATTATTGCGCCAGGTTATTCACAGAGTGCATTAAAAATCTTAAAAAAGAAAAAAAATGGTGCTTATTGCATTCTTCAGATTGATCCTACTTATGTGCCATCTTCAATGGAGCAGAAAGTTCTGTTTGGTTTAACTATGGAACAAAAGCGCAATGATATTGTTATTAATAAAGATACGTTTGCTAATATAGTAACTAAAAAAGTCCCAGATATACCTGATGATGCTATAAGGGATTTAATCGTGGCTACTATTGCTGTGAAATATACACAAAGTAATTCAGTATGTTATGCTAAAAATGGACAGGTAATAGGAATTGGTGCTGGACAACAATCAAGAATTCATTGTACAAGGCTTGCTGGTGATAAAGCCGATAATTGGTATATTTTTTAAAAACATACTTAGTTACTTCTATTATCTGAGTGTTTAATTACGTATTTAATAATTGCCCATTTTTTAGGTGGTTACGTCAGCATCCTAATGTTATTAACATGAAGTTTCACAAGGGTGTAAAAAGAGCAGATATTTCAAATGCTATTGATAATTATGTAAATGGATCTATTGGGAAAGACATGGATTATGCTGATTGGTCAAGTCTGTATATTAAAACACCAGACCGGCTTTCCGAAAGTGATAGATTAGAATGGATCAAGAAGGCAAATAACATTGCTTTAAGTAGCGATGGCTTCTTCCCATTTAAAGACAATGTGGAACGAGCAGCATTGGTATGTAATTGTTTGTTGCATTATTTGTTTGTTCTAGACAACGCAACCTAATATTTGTTAATTGCAGAGCGGTGTAAAATATATTGCAAGTCCTTCTGGTTCTACAAACGATGAAGAAGTAATAGAAACTTGTGAATACCACAGAATTGCATTAGCCCACACTAATCTGAGACTCTTCCATCACTGATACAAAGAAATGTGAAAAACATGTTACTCAACAAATGCTATGTTTGCTGTGTTCTTGAGTAACAAGTTTCATTACATACTATCTTTTATTCACTATGTATACTATATATGTACTATACTATACTATATACTATGTATACTATATTATCCACTATATATTATAATGGTTGATAATCAACTAAACAACAATTTCTAGGTTTCTACATTAGATATAAAGTTTTATATTCTTTATAGCAATGTAATATCAAGAATAAAAGAATTACAAATTTGAGTACATTTTCATAGTCCCATACAATCAACCAATACAGTCTTCATTCTTTATTTAAAGCATGCAGCATATATACATACATATATTTACAATATGCGTTATTAATTGTGGATGAAAGAGATTTTTAATCTTTAATCGTTTGGAAATAAAGCTACAATCGAAATTTCTTTATTCTTAATTTTTGTCTGTTTATTATATTCAACTTGCGTATGTAATTAACGCTACAGGCCATTCACTTCTAAAATGGTGGGTACATATACATACATGCACGTATGCGCGTAGAAAATTTGTTCTCATAAAAAACACCGCAGCTGCGTGTTGCATCTCTTCCCTTGTGAAATACTCTGTGGTTGTCAGTGGGCTCAGTGTTGACCGTTTTTGGTTGTACAGGTGTAGTGTCGAAGTGTGTATTCAAAGATTATTTAGTATAAAATAATTTTGCGTTCACAAAAGGTATTAGAAAATGTCGGAAATTTCGATGTCAGAATCACCACATTTACAACAAATTGATCTTACTACTTTGAATCTTCAACAACTTACAATTTTGAAACAGCGTCTGGATCAAGAGCTCGAAGTCTTTCAAGGCTCCTTGCAAACGTTAAAAGTTGCTCAAAGTAAATTTCAGGAGTCTGGATCGTGCCTTGATAAAATTAATCCTGCCATGAACGGTAAGACTTTTGTTAGCTCTAATATATTTATTTTATAGTATAATAGTTCTTCTAATTCCGGTATAACCATTGATTAAGGTTAAGGCACGTGAAGCTTACTTAATCTAATTTGTTTAAATAATTCTTTGCAGGCAATGAAATTCTTGTACCATTGACTGGACCAATGTATGTTACTGGGAAATTAGCGGATACAAATAATGTATTAGAGGACATTGGAACAGGATATTTTGCCGAGAAGAGTGTCGCCGAAGCAAAAGATTATTTCGATAGAAGAGTTGCTTACGTTACAGAACAAATGGAAAAAATACAACAACTGGGTCTTGATAAATGTAAAGTTAGAGATGCAACGGCAGATGTTATAGAAATGAAACTTCAAAGTCAAGGGCAGAAAGAAGTTCCGGAGCATGCATAATATAATAAATTTTCTATGCTAAAGGTGCAAAATGTGACTTATTTATGGTTTATGCTCGTCGTCATCATTATTAAATTGTATCACTTTATATTTTGTTATTAAACTTTGATAAGTATAATTACGCAGCATGTAAGGAAAGTACATCTAGATTTATAAAAGTAAATCATGATTTAGAATATCATCTGTTTCACATAGTATAAAAGAATATTAGCTATTTACACATTGATATAATAGTTAATTTTGTACAGCAAGATAAATTTTAATAAATTATAATGAAATTTTATTCCATTCAACCCAGTCGTTTATTCTGGAAAACGCAATATACAGTACACTTCCAATTCTCTGGCATACTCGGAATTGAGACTGGCCGATAATTAGATTACGCCATAATTTTCTTCTTTATTATCACTTTGTCTAAAATATAGTAATTTGGGGGCTAAAAGAATATTTTAAGGGTACAGAAATGTTTCTATTCCTATCCTACCCTCGAAGAAGAATCTAAGTAACTCGATAACTCATTATTCAAAATTATTGTTATTGGCTCTAAAATACCATAAATTGCCATAATTATATTTAGTTATGATTATTTCAAAAATTGCCAGTTTATTGACCACGAAACACTGTCACCACATAGCGGTAAACATACGAATACTAAACCTGATCTGTCAAAGCAATTTGTGGGTTAAACAAATATTTTGAGGGCAAATGCATGTTCGGGGAAATTTTCTGCATCCATATTATGCTACAAAATCCTATTAACTGTTGCAGATATAGAGAAAATGGAATATTTGTTACACCTACGAATGATCTTGCCATAAGTAAAATACAGGAAAATAGCATGCAATTTGTCAATTTGAGAATCAACAAAATATTTTGAGAATACAAAAATGTTCAGGATACTCTCCTGTGTCTGCATCATGCTAAAACAGCTTATTTATTCTTGTTGCTTTTCCTATGAAGTATCAAAATATTAGAATTGGAATAGATCATGGCGTTCTATCTCAGAATCTGAATTACCGACTCTGTAGAAAATGCTGTGATACCACCATAGACGAGGTTAGCGAACTCTACCTAAGTGGAACGGTCAGCTATACCGTTGCCGTGAATTCTTTCAAATGACTCCATCCGTGACGTCACGGACAAGCAGTTCAGCAGAGTAGGAGTAGAGGGCAGCGATGTGACCAGTGCTCACAGTAAAAAGAGTTACACAAGGAGAGGGGGCCACACAGGCGACGCATGTGCAAGAGTCATTATAATTTTGAACTACAATCGCGACGCGACGTAGAGCCTCTGTCTAATAGTAGTTCAGAATTATTATATACACCCGCGCGGTAGAGGCGCCACGCCGCTGTGCGGGACTCCCTGTGCATGCGTCACCGTCTCACTCCTTGCGGAGCCGTGACCAATCATAAACGTGAAAACACCACTGACAACCCTGCTGCCCTTTATCCGTACTTTACTGAGCTGTTCATCCGTGACGTCACCGGCAACGGTGGTCATATCGCATCGGTTGAACGGAGTAGAGGGTAGAGGGCAGCGTAGTCGCTATCACATCACTGCGAGCTGTACATATATACAGGGTGTCCCACAATTATTTTAACAGCCGAAAATGAGGGGTAGCTGAGGTCATTTGAAGTAACTTTTTCCTTTGCGAAAATGCAATCCGCGGCTTTGTTTACGAGTTATTAACGAAAAACACTGGCCAATGAGAGGTGACGGTGCGAGAGAGAGAGAGAGAGTACGCGAGAGAGTACGCAGCACGAGGCTTTGACAGATGGTCGGGACGGACTCGAGCCACGTTCGAAGTATTGAACAAATCACGAAGCGAGAACTTTCCGGATTTTTTTTTACTACGTGACAGTG